GGGTGGCAAAGGTTGAGTAGTAGTCGGTCTCACAGTAGGGACGTCCGTCGCGCTCAAAGAAGTTGCCGTCCTCAAAGGGCTTCAGGCACTGTGTGCAGACAAAGTGGTGGATGTGCCACTTCTTGCCCAGGGCGGTGATGCAGCGGTCGGTGATGGCGTCATCACAGTGGGCGCAGCGGGAGCAGAACAGCTCGTGGTAGCACTTCTCGCAGTGGGGGAAGTTCTCTTGCTCGTAGAAGTTCTTGGTGCCGATTGGGTTGTGGCAGTTGTGGCAGACAAAGTGCTCGGGATGGTACAGCTTGCCCATGGCCTGGATGGTCTCGCCCAGGATTGGCTTACGGCAGTGGCCACAGGTACCTCTTGGTGTTGGGCCAGTGGTGTCAATGTCGTTCATCTGCGAGGTGAGGTTGGTGAGCAGGTTGTCCAAGTCGTCGCCGGCAACAACCTTGCCAGCTGGCTTGGCGGCAGCCCTTGGGGCGGCGGCAGCCTGCTGGTGGTGGTGCTGTGGCTGGTGTTGATGATGCTGATGCTGGTGCTGGTGCTGGTGAGCTGGAGCAGCCTGCTTGTAGTCGACCACTGGCTGCTGTGGGTTCAAGTTCTTCAAGAGCTCGTCCAAGTCGTCGGTGCTGTGCGAGGCTGATGAGTGGATGGGTGCGGGAGCACTCCTCTGTGCTGGGGCTGTGGTTTCCAAGACGGCTCTGGACACCTGGGGCTTCTTCACGACGACTGAGGCCGTCGAGGTGTATGTCTTGACGGGTGCAGCGTGCAATGGCGCTGGCTTGGCCGAGGATGAGTATGTCTTTTGGGACGCAGGCTCGTTGGTCTTGACGGCGGTGTGGATGGACGTGTTGAGCGACTCCATCAGAGCGTCCAAGTCGTCGGATGATTCAAACGCCTGCTGCGAGGTCGAGTTGTTGTTGTTGTGGTGGTTGTGATGTGTTGGCTCCTGTCTGCCGGTGGTCTGAAGATCAGACATCAACGACTCTATCTCATTCAAGTTAACCTTTGAAGAGTTGTGATTATTATGTCCATTGGATGCAGCTGGAGCTGGCTTTGCCACTCCACTCTTGGGACTTCCCAAATCAGCGAGTAAAAGGTCCAAATCGTCCATTATTATTATTATTATTTAATATATATGTAATTCTATAAGTTGTTTGATTGTTTGATTGATTGATTGATTGATTGTTAGACATCTTTCAATGATTGATCTACCATCATTGCTGGACCAGATCCAACCTCCGACCTTCCTTCCTTCCTTCATCATTCATTCTTTCTTCCTTCAATCAATCATGATCTCATTGTCCATGACTCTGACTTAATCTTCTCTTCATCATTCACACCCACTCTCTCACTCACTCTCATCATCCTGCCTCACATGATCTGAATGATTGATACCTACATGACAGAGTGTAGTATATGTATGTATAATGAATATAGATATATGATGTATATGTATATATATGTATCTGTATTCAAAGAAGAAGAAGTCAAAGGTAAGTGTCGATGATGGATGGATGCTGTCTCTCTGTCTGTTTGTTTGTTGGTTTCCTTCTGCCAATGTTTGTTTGTTTGGATAAATCAAAGAGAGAGGGAGGTTGGGGGTGTGGGTGGTCTGTTGGTTGGAGGGAAGGATGGTGGTAAGGGTTTGTGTTTGGCAGTGTGTAGGGAGGTAGTGGTTGGGAAGAATGACCCATTTATTTTTTTTGCATTCATTAATATCATCCAATTGGGGGGTTTTTTGTTGTACATTTGAAATCCATGTTTTATTTGAATTTTTGGTCATCCAACTTTAAAAAACAATGAATCATTCGAACTTCAAACTTTCATCCAATTACAGGAATTCAAATGTTTGTAATTTCCAAAGTGATAAAGTGGCGCATTTTGCAATTCAAGTTATAATTATAACTTCATCCACACACAAACAAACAGTTACACAATGGACACACTAGTTGAGGATGCTGACCAAGTGGATATAAACCAGAAGAAGTTCAAGAAGAATAATGTTGTGGCAGAGTTCACCAACCTGGAAGAGGTTGACTCAACTCCTCCAATTAGTGAGAATGAGAGGAACACTGCTGCTTTGGCAGCTGCAATGAACAATGATGATGATTATAAAATCAATGCTGAAGGTTAGTGTGTGGATGATCATTGATTGATTGATTGATTGAGCAAGGTATTGACTCTCAAGTTCATTGACAATGCAGGCTCAGACTTGGACATTGACCAAGCATCATTGGATGAAAAGAAGAGTGCTGCTGCCACTGCTACAAAGAAAAGACCAGCGCCACCAAAGCCAGCATCACCACCTGTCAAGAAGAGAGCATCAAGGCTGAGAAAGGCAGCTGTCAGTGATGAGTCTACGAATGAAGAGTCTGATGATGATGATGAGAAGGAGCCAGACACAAAGAAGAAGGGTAGGGCATCATCAAAGAAAGAGACAGAGAGAGAGAAAGAGAAGAAGGAGAAAGAGAAGGAGAAGGCAAAGGAGAAAGAGAAGAAGGAGGCTGAGAAGAAAGAGAAAGAAAAGGAGAAGGAGAAGGAGAAGAAACAAAAGGAGAAGGAAAAGAAAGATAAAGAGAGGAAGGAGAAGGAGGACGAAGACAAGGCAAAGGCGAATAAGAAAACAGATAGTACAAAGAAAACAAATGACAAGACAAAGGAGGACAAGAAAGAGGAGAGCACAACAACAAAGAGAGCAACCAGATCAAGGTCAAAGAAGGAGGATGAAGTCGAAGATGATGTGGATGATGAAGTCTCTGAAGATGAAAAGAGACCCGTGAAGAAAGATACCAAGACAACATCATCAAAGTCCACAAAGAAGGAAGCAGCCACAACAACACCAAGCAAAACAAAGGAGAAGGAGAAAGAGAAAGAGAAGGAGAAGGGAAAGACCAAGGCAGAGACAAAGGCAGAGACACCAAAGTCACTTGGAAAGAGAAAGAAGAATGATGATGTTGATCAACTGTCAGATGAGGAGGTTGAGTCACCTACAAAGAAGTCAAAGGCAGAGACAAGCAAGAAGGCAGTCACTCCAACAAAGTCGATTGTGGAAAAAGAGAAGAAAGATGACAAGAAAGATGACAAGAAAGATGACAAGAAAGAGGACAAGAAGGTTGACAGTAAGGACAAGAAGGAGAAGAAAGGAAAGGAGAATGAGGATAGCAATGCAGGATCAAAGACAAAGAAGACACCAAAGGTCAAGGCATCTAGGGACAGTGTTATCAAGGAGAAAGAGGAAGAGGAGAAACATGTCGAGGACGAACATATGAGCGATGAGGACGACGACATTTGCATCTGTCTATCGGCATTCTCTGACGAGCAGAGGGAAGGACTGGACCATGTGATCAGGAAGATGGGTGCGACAGTCACAGACAACGAGACTGAGTGCACACATCTGCTGCTTGGCTCCAAGGTGCGCACTTACAAACTGCTACATGCAATGGCCTCTGGCAAATGGATCCTCACACATCAATGGGTCATTGACTCGGACAAGAAGAGAATGTGGCAAGAGGAGTCAGACTATGAATCCAATCACTTTGCTGGCATCAAGGCAGCGCGCACTGCTCACGAGTCTGGCGAGACCCTATTCAAAGACATGTCATTCTTTGTTTGCAAGAAGATTGACAAGATGTCAATGAACAAGGATCAGAAGACGAAGCTCATCACATTACTTGGTGGAAAGGTAAGTCATCGAAGCTCATCCATCACATCATAGGTTGACTTTGCTAACTCATCAAACAACTACAACAACAGTTGGTTAGGGAAGTGGACAAGTGCGATGTTTGTATCTCAGACACCAAGGCAGAGGCATCTGGCGCAGGTGACAAGCCAGTGGTCACTGAGAAATGGATATTTGATTCACTGGATCAATACAAGCTGTTGCCTCACAAGGACTACTTGGCGCAGTGATTGATTGATCCAAGACCATACACGACAATGACAACATATAGCAAGCAACGCAATCAAACAAAGGTTTTGGATCACTTTAGTTAGTGATCAATTGATTATTGGCAACATGTTGCCAGCACATTCCATTCCATTTCGATCCATTTATTGTCTCGTGAATATGAACATCTTGGCCATTGTAGACACAGTTGTATCCTTTGTGAATGTAGAGATTGGCACTGATGTCATCTAGATTGATTGATCGATTGGATTAGCAAGTTGGAGGGACAGCACAGAGGAGACCAAGACTTACATTGAACTTATAATGGGTGGATACTCTCTCCACAGTTGGAAGATGATTCTTTCTGTCCAAGAATGACAAATAGAATGAGGATCCAGGTTCGCCACTGAGAAGTTGGTTAACTGTGTAGAATAGGGGCTCGATAGATGCGTCAAAGTAGACCAAGTCCGATCCAATGATGATGTCAAAGTGATTGCCACCATAGCTCTGTTTGATTGTATCCAATGTACTGTTGTTGCCCCACCCCAGATGTACAACAGTTGGTCTCGTCATGTAAAGATGTTTGTTGTTGTCAATGTTGAGTTCAAGTTGTTCGAAAGTAGACTGCTCTCCATCACTCATCACGGTTGTACGAGCAAACTTTGATACGGCCAATCCACATACTCCAACGCCTGTACCCAATTCCAGCACAGTCTTGTCCACAAATTGTTTACGATTGAATGCAATATAATGACCAAGTATAGATGCTGCAGGCCATGGTAACAGACCAGTAGTTGGTTGTATATTCTGATTCTGTAGTCTACATGAGTGAATGAGTGGAGTGAGTGAATGATTGAGTGATTGATTGAATGAATGAGTGTCACATCACAAACTTACTCTTGTCCTTTGATTGTAAGTGTTAGGTCATCTGCAAAGGTGTACTTGTAATCTTCAACAGCATCGCTGACTACGAATATATCAGACAATCCAGTGATATCCTCATCATCACTATCTATTGACATCTATAACACTTATATTACTGTCTTGTTATTTGTTTGAGTGCGAAAGGCGAACGGAATGAATGACGTCGAGTGTTTTCCCCCACATGATCACATTCGTTAACGACACACCCACACATCAGATACAGATACAGATACAGATACAGTTTATTACTAAATAAGGAAATAACCAAGTAGGACTCCATGATCAACAATATCTCTGATTGTGAGATTGATCGATTGACCATCAAGATTTATGAGTGCACTCACTCGATCACTCGATCAATCAATCAATCAATTGTTGTTTGAAACGAATATAGTTGTAGGAGCAAGTCCTTGAGACAAACTGACCTATAAAGTCGCCAGTGTCCATCTGTCGCTCTTTCATCATCGGTGCAATCATTTTGTGATCAGAGACTTCAAACTCGATGTTGTCTATGCTGGATAGTGGATACCTCGCCAGGACTCCAAATATATCTCGTAGGCCATCAAAGTCCTGATGAGCACGCATATAAGTACCAGACACAGATGTATCTTGTTCGCGCCCTTCGCTACGGTTTGATCTACCAATCAAAATCGATTCCAACTTGGTCTCGCCCACCACCACGTTGATCAGCCTGTCCTTCAGATCGTTCGTGAGATGCTTGTAGTCGCCAATGAATAGACTGGACAGTCGTTGGTGGGCGCGAAGGAAGTCGAGGAACTGATCAAAGTTGTCGTGAGCCGTGAGGTATCGATGGTGATCATACAGGAATAGTTGTAGCAGGTTGGACGCTGTGTTTGCCTTGAGGAACGATGTGAACGCTGCTGGTGTAGTTTCATATTGTAGCCATAGTTTTTGAATGTTGTCCGGCAACTTGGGTAGTACTACGGCATGTTGTGTGTTTGGAGCTGCCTCCATGAGTGATCCCTGCAAGTAAAAGATACTTGGCTGGGCAGAGATGGCCACGAGATGATCAGGTCGCACACTGAATGGCAAGTGGAGGATGGTGGGATGGTCAAGAGTCTTGAGGTACGCGATGAGGCCAGCGTTGAAGTTGTCTATCTCGGCCTGCGAGTAGATTTTAGTTGCCAGAGTGGTCACCTTGAGCTTCTCGATATGCTTCTGCGTGGACAGTCCGCGGAGCAATGATCCAAGGTCGCCAAGGTACAATCTTTTGATTTTGAGTGTAGTCAAACGACAGCGCGCATTGGCCAAGATGTCAAACACTCGCTCAAAGAATACAGCAGAGGTTGCTCGGCGCCCTGGTGGCACGTATGATGATTGTCGCGTGTTTAAGGCCGAGAGGAAGGAGAGCTTCTTCAAAGTGGGCGCGGTATCCTTGAGTAGTCCCAACAATGTACTGTTATGCTCGTCAACTTCTCCAAGGAACATGATGATGAGGCTCGTGAGATGTCGGAGCGGGAAGTCCTGGGCAGGGTAGTGATGCACAATCGACGACTGAAGACAAATGTTGCTGAGCGAGGGTCGCTCACTGATCATACGGTACACTGTACGGATCATGTTATCGTGAGACGGGTCGATTTCAGATGCGCCAGAGTACACAGCAAAGTGAGTGGTTTGCGACATCATCTTGGCGAGCAGTTGCTCGCCATCTGGGTGATTGACGTACAGTGCACGCAGATTATGGAGGCTGGCGACAAAGGCCGTTGTGTAGCGGTAGGCAAAGTTGGGGCTAGCCAGGTGGACTCCAAAGTCAGACTTGAGGAACATGTCACCAACGTTGCTGGTCAGATGTGCAGAGGCGTGTTCAGCAAACACTTTGCACACCAAGAACATTGTCATCTTCCATTTAATACCTACAAAGTGATCCACCATGCTATAGTGCACAATCCTGGCCAACACATAATGAGGCAGTTGAATCAATGATGATGGTGATGATGGTGATGATGAAGTATCCGACATGATTATTACAATATATATATCTCTGTTTGTTAGGAGGAATGAGTGATCAATGACCATGGATAGAGTTTCCTTTGTGGTCTCACTTTTTGATCACTTCTGGAACTTCAGAATTGATTGATTGGAGCATTGACAATATCAGGTGTACTATAAAGTCACTCCTCTTCTTCCATGATGATAGGTTGAAAGAATGATAGAGATAAGACCGATGATTAAGATAGAAACTTTTTGATGCCAACGAACAAATAGATGTACAGACTAGGAAGGTCCTCCAATACACCATTTAATTAATAATTTAATTAAATATTTTTCTCGCAGCTGAGGAGTGGATCTTCCAGTTATTAATAACCAACACCGGTCTTCATTTGTTTAGTTGTTTGATTGATGAATAGACTTTTATTTAATAGATGACAGTGCAACAACAACTATATTAATTATCTCCTCCAACTCCTTTTTTTATCATCATGGCAGATCAACAAAAACAACAACAACTACATCAACCCGATCAACAACAGCAACAACAGCAACAACAAAAACAACAACAACCCGATCAACAACAACAATATGCTTATCCCGGTTGGGTCCCCGATCCAAATATCCAAGCACAAATTGATGCAATGGAGAACAACAACAATCTCACAGATCAACAACGACTCTCCATTATTCGGAGAATAACCACGGATATTAGATATCTCAACCTGAGGTTGCTTCTTTTATTTGCCGATCAAGATGCCCCTCAACCAGCCCGTAAGTACAAACATTGGCTCAATGTCTTCATTCAATACTAAAGTACAGTTGTTCAAGCCGGTGAAGCAGGAAAGAGATCTTATGAGGAGCTGGAGAAGCAAGTCCAGAACCTGACCGAAGAGGTTTGCATTCTACGTCTAGATCTCATCAATTTCAAAGAATGATTCTCCTTAAAATGGATGGATATTGATGATTTATTTGCTGACAGTACTCATCTCTTTGAGCTTGGCCTCAACTCTGCGGTCTTCAAGTCGTATCTGTTTGTTCTTTTTAAAGACTACATAGGCTACACCTACTGCGGCTATGATAGTAACACCACATACAACTGCGATTGTAGCAATCTTCCATGTGCTGAACTTGTCGTCTTGTTGTACAACAGACACACCACATAGCACTGGATGTTCCTCATCATTGCCTGGATCGACCAGCATTGCAAAGTTTGGATCAATGTCACACAGATGGCATTGTGGCAGGTGGATGCCAAAGTATGTGTCATTGATCAGTTCGTTCAATGAGTAGAATGGACGGCCGTCCGACAGACCGACTGGTAGGAAGCTGCCGTAGAATTGCATTCCATTGTAGTTCATCTTAACATATTGGAGATTGCCATCTACTGGATTGACACCCTTGATCAACGACGGGTGGCAGGCAGAGTCTTGATGTGTGAATCCCGAGTCCATCTTGACCATGATCCTCAACGTGTTCAAGTTGGACCTATATCTCCATCCATTGACCTTCATCGACATCTTGATTGAGTGAGCATCAAGTGTTGTGTTGGTACCTGCGAATTGAATAACAGTGAGTGATGACGATGTCTGGAGACGGACGATTACATCCAAGTAGTCATCTTGTTTGTTGATCAAGTTGTACTGATTGATTGACAATGCACCATTGGTATAGTCCATCCTACTCCATGACGTTGTGAGCACCTCCTTGACAACATGATCAAGTTGGTCCAACTCTTGGATTGACACGATGGATATGTTGAATTGAGAGACGTTGGATGTCAACATTGTAGTAGGTGTGTCGACCACGGGTAGACTGATGACAGTGTTTGGATTGATCTGTGATTTACAAGTGAGCCCACCATAGTTGGCAAAGCACTGGCACTGCCCTCTTACACACACTCCATTGCCATGACACTTGGATTGGTTTCCACATTGATCCTTGATTACTAATGGCACCACCATGAGATCTGAACTTGATGTATATATACTGCCTCTAACACTAATCGTCAAGTTGGCAGGACCAGCATTCAATGTAGAGTCGAGGTGGCATACTATTGATGAGTTGGTGATTGCCAACACTGTGCAATTCAACTTATCAATCACAACCTTGGTGTCATTTCCAGTCACATTGTATCCAAAGTTGCCATATATCGTTACATTGGTTTGATTGGCCAATATAGGTGGGATGGAAGTGACCAAAGGGTAGTCTATATATGTGACCCAATGGATGGTTAGCAAGTTTGATTGATTGGGAGTCATGGAGTGGTTACATACAATTGATGTAGATTGATTGATTGAATGAAAGGTAGGGACTTGAAATATTGACGAATACAGGATACTCTTGTGTGAGCTGGATTGGCGTGGTCGAGCATCTGATCAGATTGGTGGAAATGTAGTTGACCTGGCATTGCTGATTGTTGCTCACATTGATTGTGTAGTTATATGTGGTATTGAATATACCTGGAATAGTCAACTCAAGTCTTTGTAGATTTGAACTATACTCTGCAATAATATTATTACCATCAATTGTTGATTCTATAATATTTGTTTGATTGAAAGAGTAAGTGAGTTATGAGTTCACTTCCATCCACATGATTGTACATACTATCAGTGACCCAGGAGATGGTCCTATAATAACTACTATTCTTTGATATCATTATGTTGGCTGATCCTTCTGGGAAGGGTGGATCATATCTTATGATTGATGAAGATGTTAGTTAGTTGGTTTGGATGTAATAATGGTGATTGGATGATATTGTAACGTACTTTATCCTGTAGTTTGGTACAATTGCATTATAATTTGAATCATGGTCATCAGAATCATAGAAGTAACCTCCAAGGTTCTTTCCAGTGATCTCAATCCAAGTAATATTCTCTGTGAGTACATAGAATGTCTTGTCCATTTGAATATCTAAATTGTAGTTTGATTGGTTAGAATGAATCAATGAATGGTCAATTGGAAACATACCGCAAATGAATCCAGGTGGTTTGATAAATGATGTTGGCAACGCCATTTCATTGATCACCTTGTAGTAACAGTAGAGACAGTCGGGACCATTGACCAAGGGGGATCCAATTAGGAAGAATAACACCGACCTACATACTGTCTCTGATATTGAGTTCAAAGTTGGATTGAACTTAATCGAAAAGTAGTTCAGTTGGGGCATTTGGATATTGGGTATTGATGTTATTTGGTTATAATCCAGTACTCTATAATTTGTCATTGATTGATTGATTAGTGAATTGATATTAATTCTGTACTATAGTGTACATACAAGCTGGTCATGGGAGGGTTGATGGCTTGGAATGTTGGGAAAGTAGTTAAGTTGGCATTGATTATAAATCTTTTTGATTCCAGTAGAGTGAGTTAGTAATAAGATATCATTAATGTTTAAGTTCGGTTGGATTTCTGGAATTATAATTACAAATTGTATAACTTCACCATGTGGCTAAGGTCCAAAGAAGTTGGCTGTACCCAGTTAAGGAAACTATTTTGAATGAATGAGTGAGTGAGTTAGTAAGAGAATGAATGGGACATGGTATTAAATTGTAATACATACAGTCTAGTTACATTTGTAGCGTTCATTATTGTAATATGGCAAAGCTTAGAACTTGATATATCACTAAGATTGAAAAAAACAATAATTAATAAAATTGAAAGGATAGAATGAATGATTGTAAGTACTTACATTGTATCCAAGGTTGGTGAGTTTACATAGATATCCATTGAGTCACTGAATGTAATTGCTCTGTTTGGAATTTGTTAGTATGGTAATCAAACAATCACTGGATGATTAGAACCATTACATACAATGTTTCCAATTTTGGGAATGTGACGGCATCGATTGAGAAGGTCTTGCTCGTAGGTTGATTCTTGGGATATATCAATCTAAGTTGACGAAGTTTACCATTGTATTGCGTAGAGTTGAACATCACCTTTGGTGTTGGTACAGTTGTATTATCAAAGATTGATGCACCACTAAAGTATACAACACTCAAAGTTGGTCCAAATAGTGATGCTGGAATAATTGAAGTTATCAATACTCTATTGCAATAACTAAAAATAATAATAAAAAGTAAGTTGAGTATCGCTTAAATTCCCCTTAACAACTTGGTCATTAACTTACAATTCACTCAATGGTATGAACTTGGGGAATTGAGGAGGTATCCAAAGTGGAGTAAAGCTAATTGAGAATTCAGAACTATCAATGCTAAGGTAGTTTGATTGAAAGTGGTCAATAATGGATTGGTGAACATATAATAAATAATAAAATACCATACTTTGTCTTGGTAAGGTTTACATTGTTGGCATTGTCCAACAGATCAAGGATATTAAAGGTCTTATTTACAACATCAGACTTCATGTATATTTGGAATTCCTTCAAGTATGGGAATATCAACTTGGTCAATGAAGGATTGGGTATACCATTATCTTGTGGTGGAAGTGTCTCTCTGTATGTTAAATATATTTGATTGATTGATTGAATCAATGAATTAGTATGTTTGAAATTGGATAGGTAAATGTATACATACGAAGTAGCCCTAATTTGAATAATACTTTGTGTGCCCATTGTATTGTTAACACACATCAATGCGGCAATAGATGATGTTATACCTGAACAAGTTGTTGCTTGCATACTCCAAGGTAGTCTATACTGTTGAACAACCCATCTTAATGAGTTCACTATATATGTATTGAGTTAGTGATTGAAGATCAATCAATCAAATATATTGGAACATACATTCAACAGAGTTAATAGGTAATTCTGCATGTGTTATAGTCGATGTTGATAACAACAATAATAACATTAGAGTGAACATCATAACATGTAGATTCTTCATGATGTTGGGTATTAGTATTTGTAAATATTTAAGTATGTATACATATATGGATAAATAAGGAAGGAAGATACTATGGGTCTATGTCTGACTTACTATGGTATGAGATAAGATACTCTCTAGTATGGGAGCGGAGTATTTCTGATCTAATCACTTCCAGACCCCATTTCTGATCAAGATATTTATTTGTTTAGGGGCACACCCCTACACACACACTCAAGATGGGAACCATCTTGTTTTTTGATTTGTTGATTTGGGTCTATATCTGGGAGGGGGTGAGATATTTGAGTATCTATTGATTGATCATCATCATCATCCTCATTTATGAAGTATGTTTAATAATAATAATGATTATTTATTATTAGATTGATCTTGATCTTAAGAGAGTGGATTCATTTTTTGTAACTTTTGCTCCATTCTCATATTTTGTTGTCTGAAGTTTGACATCCTCTTCATCTGTATTGCCGCTCCAATTCCAATGGCTAAAATAGCAACAACTCCAACAATAACAATTGTAATGATCTTCCATGTACTAAACTTCTTCGATTGTGTTGCACATCCATCATGTCCAGCATCATTATTGATCAATATTGAAAAGTTGGGATCAATGGCACATTTACTACATTGTGGCAAATTGATACCAATCAATGTACTATTGTTGTTGTCAGAGAGTAGTTGATTGAGTGAATAGAATGGACGACCATCTGACATGCCCACGGGGAGGAATGATCCATAGAATGTGGAGCCACCATATGTGATCTTGATATATTGTGTGTTGTTATCCAAATGATTGAATCCAAATGTGTTGGACAATTCTGGTGAAAGACAACCAGTTGGTGAACCATCGGAGATTGCATCCACTTTGATCACAACTCTCAATGTGTTCAAATTTGAAGAATATCTCCATCCGTCGATATTGATCGATTGTTTCAAAGTGTTGGTGTCAAGCGTCATGTTCATGCCAGCGAATTGGAATGACTGTGGACTTTTTGCCGTCTGCATACGTGCCACGACGTCCAATCCATTGTCATGAGAGTCATTGTCGACCAAAGTATACTGGTGTGTTGTGATTGCGCCATTGGTGTAGTCCTCCCTTGTCCATGAAGTTGTGAGAACCTGTCTGGAAACATTGCCTAACTGATCAATCTCTTGAATTGACACGATTGATATATCAAACTTTGTTAACAAAGTTGTTGTTGTGATTGTAGTTGATGGAGTGTCACTGGGTATGATGATCACAGCTGGATTGGTCTTTGACTCGCATGTATCACCACCATAGTCTGGTTGACATTGGCATCGACCTTGAACTGTGTCACATGTGCCATGTCCTGAGCAAAGATCATCTGTTCCACATTGATGAGGTGCATTCGGGTCTGTCACCATGAGGTCTCCATTGGATGTATATATACTACCATTGACGTTGATCATAATATGAGCTGGACCAGCTGTCAATGTTTGATTGAGTATACATTCAATCTTTGAACTTGTACTTGTTGCAAATACATTACAACCAACTACATTGTTCACAATAACAGTGGCACCAAATAATGATTGATTGAATGATCCAAAGTTTCCAAATATATCCAATCTAGTTTGAGCGGTTGTGATTGATGGTATGGATGTAACCAATGGATAATCTAAAAGTTGAAAGATCCTGTCAATAATTGATTGATTGATGGATCATTTAGAATTGTATCATACTTACATTTGATGTCAGAGTTGATTGTTAATACACTTAATGAAGTGTTGAGTGTGATGAGTATTGGTGACGCTTGGGATAGTGTAATAGATGGTACTATACACTCTAAGGAAGTGGATTGTCCTCTGATTGTACATTTATATCCATTCTCCATAATGATATCATACCAGAATCCTTCATAGAATACTCCATTCATTGTAATAACCAACTGTTTGAGGTTGATACTATAATCACTATAGATGGTATTGACATTTGTGACTTGATATTAAATCATTAGTATATGTATCACCTGTTATTGAATGGGATTAATACATACTATCAGTGTTCCATGATATTTTCTTTGTATAATTGAGTGAATCGGAGAAGTAAACAATCATGTCCACGCCAAATGGTGCCTGTGGAGTATAGCTATCCCGATGATTGTTTAGTTATTGGAGTTAGTTGTGATTGATTGATTGATTGATCAATTGATCAATTGAGTGAAATAAGGAGTTTGGAACTTACATCATCTCGTGATTGAGGATGACTGGAGTCATGTTTGGATCATGGGTATCCTTGTAATATCCACCAAGGTTCTTGCCACGAAGATTGATCTTGGTGTTGTTGGGTGTGAGTGTGAACATGTTCTTGTCCAACTGTAAATCTAATAAAGATATGATAAATAATATTGATTAGTGATTGATTCATTGAGTGAGTGAATGATGTAGGGTCACTTACTACAAAAGAAACTACTTGGTGGAATAATATTGACAGGTTTGTTAACTGCTATATCCCAATAACAATATAAACAATCGGGTATGTTTGTCAATGAGGTGTTGTTGATATCAATCAATGGAACTGTGCATATTGCCTCGGGTAGACTTGTCAACAATTTGTTGTTCGTAAGTTGTACCATTGCAACTTTCTGGAAATCCATCTCTGGAATTGATGTAATCATATTTCCACTCACATCACTATAATATTATTGATTGATTGATAATGTAAATGTATTAAGATATAATGTAGTTTGTTGATTGATTGATAAAATGGTGATACATACATTCCAGTAACAGATGGACCAAACATTGTTGGGAATGAATTTAATCCATTTCTAAGGATTGATCTATATTTGATATCGATTAGTGTTAGAATTAATATAATTATAATTAATAATATTAATATTATTTTGTACTTACAGAAGGTTCAATACAGTCATACTCCTAAAGTCATAGGATAGTGGGACGAATCCATCAAGAGACCTTTTGGAGAGTAAGTTAGGTGAGTGAGTGAGTGAGTAATTGATCATTATTATAATTGTCAACAAACTTACAATGTTTGTATTATTGGACAATTGGAAACATTGGCAATTGATATTGAAGTGCTAGATAGGATACTATATACAGTGGGTGATGTATACGTTAATATCAAGTCCAAGTTCTTATCCAAAGTTGATCCAACTTACATTGACAACATTACTGGTGATTCTATTGTAATGTTTACAGTCTCTTTGAAACTTAGTTCACTATTAATAATAATAATACACAGTGTTTGATAGTTAGTGATTGTTAGGTTGAATGTTTGAATGATCCATCATACATGAATTGCAATTTTGGAAGTGTATCTGGAGCCAAGGTTATCATAATATCTGGAAATCCAGTTGGTGGGCAATCCAGAACACTAAATATAAGAGAGAGAGAGAGTTAGTATAGTTATTAATTAATATTATATATAATAGAATAATAGTATTAAGTATACATACAGATTTGTAAGGTTACTCAACCTGGTGGTTTTATCCCAACCGATCTTTGGATTGGCATTGGTAAAGGTAATGAGTTTGAATGTTATATCAACCATCTTGGCATTGAATAATGATGTTGGTATATCCGTTTCTAATACTGCTCCATGTGCAAATCTATTATATTGATTGAAAGGAATTTATAAGTTTGAGTTAGATCAATCAATCAATCAATCAATCAAATGAAACTTACATCTTGATCAAAGGGATATATTTTGGAAATTGAGGAGGTATACTGAATGATGTCACAGGTGTTGTACTTTCTATACTATATCATTGATGAATGAATGAATTAGTAAGTTGATTGGTAAGAATGTCGATAAATGTACTTACATAATCTCGCTCAGATTTCCATTTCTTTGATTATCCAAAAGATCCAAGAGACTGAAAGATGAGTTGTAAACAGGACCAACTTTAACATTGATCCTGAATGACTTCAAATAAGGGAATACCAGTGCAGTCATATCTGGACTTGGTTCTAGATTAATGGTATTGATATATGAGGTCCTATTTGAATGTTAGTTTTAGTCATTATTATTAATATTTTTGATATAGATACATACATAAAGATTGAAGTTACACTCTGATTTCCATGATCATTTGTTACACACTCCACCAAGTTTGCACCGGGATCGGTGCCACCTCCCGCTGCACAAGCATTTGTTTTAACATTCCATCCTGTCTTGTACTGTTGTGCAATCCACAACAAAGAGTCAACTGATTTTGATAACCTGTGTTAGTTGGTCATTCATCCAACTTTGAACTATGTATCAACATACATTCAATTTGATCAAGTTCTGCATTGATAACATGATTTGTTACAATAGTCAACATGGTCATTATGATGACCAATGTAATAGTATTCGTAGTTGTTCCTCTCATTATTATTATCTGATTCTGTTTTTATTTATGATCAGATGTTTAAGATTGATTGATTCATTGTTTCAAAGAGAAGGACAAGACCCTTCCTACCTTTCAAACTTTGGAACAAACAACTCATAATCATATCTTATAAGATAATTAAACAAATATCTTGATTAATAAATGAAAAACGACCCTTTTTTGCGATCCTGGAACCCTTCATCGCTTTGAGAAGAGCTATTTGAGGTTTTTTGATTAAATTCAGTTTTGACATCATCGTTTGCACACCCCTCTGATGAGGTCTTTGGTGGACCATCCATCAATCAAAGTTTAGCGTAGTTGGTGCTACCACACCTCAAACACACACCCAGTCACCCAGAGATAGATAAGATGGAGTCATTACCATTAGTTGTACTTCATAACATAGTATCAAATTTAGTTGACAATATTGATAGAGTTGTATTCTCATTGGTGTCTAAACGTTTGTTTCAATGTCGTGACAAATATCTACACTTTAATACTGTTAGTCTTGTCACTCATACAAACTATGGATGGCCAACTTCAACATCAACATCGACATCGACATCTGATGACAAGTCCACTTCATCAACATTTCTAAACTCATATCAATCAATCATTATAAACAATGCAAAATGCAAGCCTCATCACATATACATATACTCATCAAAAGAGGTCCAGTACAACAACAAAGGTGACTTTGATCAAGTCTATCATATTCGTAAGTCGGCTAGTGACTCGCCTCGCCTCGCCTCGTCAAGGCCTCAACTACCCCTCACACTCACTCTCACACTCACTCACACACTAGATGATGGCATGAATCGTGATGCCATGAGACAACAATTATTGGACACTACCAATGTGATTGAATCAATTACATTCAAGGATAAGATGGAACAGCCATTTACAAATGAGTTTTGGACTTGGATACAGGATATATTGTTGGAGATGATGAAGATGGACCACTCGACAGTGATCAGTAAATCAGTAGAATTGTATATCGTGACACACAACAATGAAGGTCCACAACAATCATTGAACAGATTACCCATGAACATCGAGTTGGAGCTGTTCAATCTCAGATGGACGGGCGATCGTCTCCACCTGCCCATCACACTGACCAGCCTTAGGGTCGCATGCAAGGGCTTCAACAAACCTCTGGACTTCATGCTTCCCGACAGCCTCAAGTCTCTTGACCTCGAGTACGCTCTGCACTGGAATCAACCAATAGCGTCTGGTGGATTGCCCTCGCGACTCGAAGTTCTCAAGCTATCGACGAGGTTCAACTGGCCCATCGTGGCCGGGGCCTTGCCCCCAACGCTCTTGCATCTTGAGTTTGGCGATCTCTTTGATCAACCCGATCTGAGCCACCTGCCTCAGAGTCTACTCACCTTGAACATGGGCTGCGACTTTAATCGTCCATTGCATCGCGACTCAATGCCGGGCGCACTCACCACCCTTTGCTTGTCGCACGAGTTCAACCATCCTCTCAGCCACCTGCCCAGCAGCCTCACAGACTTGACAATTGGCGACATGATGGGACGACACTTTGTCCAAGAGATCGATCACCCAGACTTGCGATCACTCTATATCGCTTTGCCCAATCCAATCTTTTCCACCAACATCACATTCTGCGACCTCACAGACCTGCGCTTCTTCCACGTGCAATCGTCTGTAATGGCCAGGATCACGTCGACTTCTTTCCCAAGACTGGATGTGCTAACGATATCTGGATTCAGCGACGAACAGAACAACAAGAAAAAGACTGATACGTCAGTGACACTGGACACCCTGCCACTGACCATCACAACCTTTGACCTCGGTCCCAACCTGACGATCAAATCATTTCCAAAGGGTATCAAGATGCTCAGGTTACAGTGTACCTATAACATCAAGTTCAAGTTGACGCCAGGACTCATACCATCATCAGTGACCTCGTTGAATCTATATAACTACAGCATCCCGCTCGGACCTGGTGACATACCCGACTCAGTGACAGAGCTTGAACTGGCCAGTCATGAATTGAAGATTCAGGCACTACCTCCATCATTGAAGACACTACGTCTTGTACATTGTACAACGTTGTATGGTCGTATAAGAGGCATTGTAACTATATTAAGAGAGATGCCAACGTTGGACATGATACACATTACCTCAAGTCGACCTACAGGTGTATTCAAACTTATACGTCTATCCAACAATATATTCCTCAAGCTACGTCATGATCTTATTGGATGTGGATATGTAGATATCAACATGTTTGATAATAAAGAGTAGAGAGTTGAATGACATGCCCGAGAGGGCGAGGGCAAGGGTGAGGGTGAGGGTTAGGCAAGGGCAAGGGTTGAGGGTTTTTCTCACTTTGAACGCATCAAAGAGATAGATATTAAGAGATAAGAGAGAGAGTAGGATGGATAGATGTCCTAACATTGTAATAATGAATGTGTTCAGTTCAATGGAACATTACGAGATTGATATGTTGGGATTGGCATTGACATCCAAGAGATATATGTCAATCTTGTTGAACTCATTCGATTATCTCAATGTTAATAACAATCAATCACATAAGGCATGGTTAGTTGATAACATGCATCCTTTAAACATTGGTATTATATATGTATACAACAATAGCAACAACAATAACAAGGATATAGATGGTGATGACAGTCAGGCTGATGATGATGATTTGGAGCAAGTGGCAACATCACCTACATCTACAATCATACGATCGACTACTACTCGTCTAATGTTGTCTGGATACAAAGACCCGATACCGCCTGGTTCATTACCGCCTCAACTAAGAACATTACGAATGAGTTATATGTTTAACCAACCTATTGCACCTGGTTCGCTGCCCATTCATCTCACCACCTTGGTTCTAGGACAAGAGTACAATCAACCGTTTGCCTTGTACTCCTTGCCTGAAAGTCTCACCAATCTTGACCTTGGCTTCACATCATTCAATCATCAGTTGTTGACAGGATCACTACCAACATCTCTTACTTCACTCTCGCTCGGTCGTTATTTCAATCAGCCATTACTGTCTGGTACGTTCCCATCTTCTCTAAGGTCCTTGGTCTTTGGTCAAGACTTTAATCAATCACTCACACCGGTTGGCGGACCTCATGGACTACCGCATTCACTTACATCATTGATCTTTGGTGCATCGTTCAACCAACCAATTGAGGACGGCACATTGACGTTGCCACTGCTCACATACCTGATGTTTGGTAGCCACTTCAACCAGGCTCTTTTACCAGGTAGTCTGCCGCCATCACTCACCAAGATAGTCCTGGGATTCATGTTCAATCAAGAGGTGCATCCAAACTCCTATCCAAACACTCTCAAACATATGACCTTCCCAAGGTTGATCAGTGACAGGGAAACATGGGCCAATATTCCTCGTAGTGTTCAAACCATCTGCACTGGCGCACCGATACGCTGGTTGGACTCACAACTTCGATACCTCTCAGACTCAATCAAACATGTCAAGTTGCAAGAATGGCTACATCTGTTCAAGTTTGTGATGGAGCCAATCACTTGTAGATTGGAAACATTATCAATGACGATGATCATATCTCCATGGAGACCAAGCTCATATGATGGGGCGATCAGACAACATGTAGAGAAACTATTGTTGATGAGTCCCAATGTTGCCAACTATCGGATCAAGTTCTTTGAGATCTCGGACCTCAATCGAAAGTGCGCCACATTACATCTAAGACGATTGAACGACATAAGTGGATGGATCATGTTTAAGTTGTATGACAAGTTGGAACGAGACAGTGTACCATTGCCACCACAACTACGTTACGTCAAGACATTATATGTCACTGCCAATCGTCCTCATGTATGATTGCTGCAATCTCGCGGCAATGTTCCAAGTCTGCCGTCTCTGCATCTACAAGACTGGTCAACATCACATCTAGGAGAAACTAAATGAGGCCATCCAGGGCCTTCCAGAGTATGGACATCAGTACATCGAAGTGGATAGCCTTGTCAACGACATTTATTCTTCCTTCAACTGGTTGATCATAATGTAGGGCTGTTGTGCTGTGTCGGTGGATGAAGAAACCTCCAACAGCAGCAAGTATGACGACAGCACATCCTACAATGAAGCCAAGTGTCAGACCATAAATCTCAATAGCCAATGAATAGCTGTTATAACGACTGTTCATGATGTTGTCGTGCTGGGAATGCCAGGTCGGGGATGGACACTTTGGATGAACGACAACTTTTGAGGTCAAACATGCGTCCTCGCGATCAAATGTTTAATTGTTTCAGTCTGGTCTCTATCCTCTTACGTTCAAGTTTGACATTGGCATTGCGCTTGAAGTAGACAATAGCACCAGTGATTGTGGCTGCAAGTGCCACTCCGCATACTACCACAATCGTTACAATCTTCCAAGTATCAAATGATATACTTGTAGCCGATTGAGCATCTAGGCATGCAGTGTTGGACGAGCCATCGGCATGGTCAACGAGGATATTAAAGTTTGGATCGATCACGCATTGTCTACATTGTGGCATGTTGATACCAATGTATGATGTTGATGATGTTGAGTTGCCATGAGTGCCAGCTGGTGATGATGATGATACATTGATAAGTTGATTGAACGAGTAGAATGGACGGCCATCTGATAGGCCAACAGGTAGGAAGCTGCCATATAGAGCACTGCCATTGTAGTTTAGTCTGATGAACTGAAGGTTGTTGTCATATGGACTTGTCCCATTGGTGAGCGATGGTTCGATACATGACTTGATATGTTGGTACTCAGAGTCCACCTTCATTACGACTCGGAGAGTGTTGAGGTTTGAGCGGTATCTCCATCCATTGATAGCTATCGAGACTTTGAGTGTATTAGTGTCTAGAGTGATGGCTGTACCAGCGAATATTGTTTGGATTGACATGTTTGTTGTTGTTTGAAGTGTTGCGATCACTTCAATATATCCATCATGTTTGAATGAGTATTGATGGATTGATTGATTGATCGGTATGATTGGTGTCCAAGATGGAGTCAATACATCTTTGACTATATGATCATTGTAGTCAAGCTCTTGGATTGACACAATTGATATGTCAAACCTCTCTGTTGTTGAGGTGATCACCGCTGATGGCAATGAATCATCTGGCAGTATCTTAGACTCTTGATTGATCTGTGATTCACAAATGAATCCTCCGTAGCCTTTGGAGCATACACATCTACGCTTGTAGCAGTATCCGTTACCAGAGCACAATGAATGATCTCCACATTGATCTTCAATAACCAATGGCACAATGTTTAGATCTTTGGTCGAAGTGTAGATACTCCCATCAATGTCGATTGTGATGTTGGCAAGACCTGGTTTGATACTAGTGCTGTCGTTGTTGTTGTTGATCTGGCATATGATTATTGTTGTCATTCTGATCAATGATTGACATGGTTCATTGTTGATTGATACCAATACATCTTGATTCGATACATTGAATGATCCAAAGTTACCATAAATGGTCACATGGGGCTGTGTCTCTGTCACCTCATTTATCGATGTAACTAAAGGATAGTCTATGAGAGAGTGAGTTAGTGAGTTAGTGAGTGTACCCTTGACTAGCTGGTGATGTGATAGACATACAGTAGATAATTATCGAAGTGTTCAATGTCAAGTATGTACTGTTGATTGAGATGAACAACATTGTCTCTTGTGTCAAGTTGACGTTTGGTAATCTACATTCAATGACATTGTCCTTCAATGAAGTGATACTACATTGATATATATTATCAACAGTAACAGTATATACATAACTAGTATTGAATTGACCCTTCACAGTAAGTATCAATAGTCTTAGATTGACACTATAGTCTCCAAATACATTGTCTACCTTTGATACTATAAGTAGTAGATCATCAACTTGTTAGTATACCTTGAGTCGATGCGTTGTGTACACAGTAACTTACTATCTGTTATCCATGATATTGGTAGAGAGTATAGAGTTGTGTTTGAGAATAGTACTGTAGCTGTACCCTCTGGGTATGGAGGTAGATAGGTCAACACCTTATTGATTGATAAGATTGATTGAATATGTGTATCATGTTGATCATTTGTATATCCACCAATGTTATTACCAACAATAGTGATCAATGGTTGACTAGGTGTAACAACATAGAACTGTTTATCAATGCTAACATCTGACAAGTAGTGGTTGGTAAGTTAGTTGATGATCATGAATGAGTGTGAGATATGATATATACTGCATTGGAATGATGGGTTTGGATCAAGAGTGGATGGAGGCAAGAAGTTATTGAGTATGTTTCGATAACAATAGAGACAGTCTGGTACTGTTATCAAACCAGTGTTCTTTAGAGTTAGTGAATCAACTGTACACACTGACTCTGGAAGTGATGTTATCAATGGGTTGGACTCCAAAAACAATGAACTAAGTAATGGCATCGATACATTTGAGACGGATTCTGTTGTTAATTGATTTCCAGATAGGTCCCTATTTAAGTATAAAGTATTGTAAGTGATCTAAAGTCATTACTCCCGAGTATTATTAATACATACAAAGTTATAATTGATGAAGTATTAAAAGTTGGATAAGATGTCAGGTTGATGTTTCTCAAATATAAGTGATTTAAAGATAAGATAGGACTAAAGTCCAAGGAGAGAGGTTTGAAACGATCCAAGTATCTTGTATAGGAATAATAATTGTAAGTATTAAGATTATTAAATGAATGTATCTGTTCTTACATCTTTGTAGTCAAAGGACATCTTATTAAATTGACAAATGATATGTCCCCTGGGCTCTGGAGATTCCTAAATAGTAAAGTTATTCATTGATTAGTATATTATAAATCTTAGTATATATATATTTAAATAGAATAAACTTACAAATATGTTAAAGTTGGTAAATCAATTGATATGTTTACACTCTCCATAAACTTGGTATCACTGGTGTATTATGTTTGTTTGAATATTTAGAATTATAAAGTTATTAATAATAAAAATATTTAAATTACTTACAAACCAATTAGTTTTGGATAGTTGACATAAGATATATTGAATATTGTCGTTGATAACTTGTTTGATGGAAGGTCAAATTGTCTAGGAATAATCAATAAAGATAATATTTGTTAGTTTCAAAATTGAGATCCTTGGATGATATAATCAGTTGACAACGTACAATGTTCTTAAGTTGGAGTATATCTTTGATTGATTGTACCACTCAACTTCAGGAAGGGGCACCAATGTTTGATTGAATATAGTATCTTGGACCAGAAAGTTCTCCAATCTTTGATTAAACATTGAAGATGGTACATTGGTTCCCAATATCACCTTACCAAGAAAACTATATATTTGAATATATTAATATTAATAAATGAATGAGTATATTTGTGTCCAATACTTACAATCCTTCCAGAGGTATATATTCTGGAAACTTTGAAGGGATATTCAAAGGTGTATACATGTTGTAAGAGATGATTCTGATTGTAATATAAAAGGAAATGTTAATAATAATGTCATAGAAATAGCATTGGATAGTACATACGACATTGAAATAAGTTTGATGTTTGAAGGACTGTCAAGGAGAGCCAACAGATTGAAAGACTCATTCACTGGTAAACTTTTAACATACATTGAGAACATCATTAAGTTTGGAAGGTATAATGATGTAATATAAGGATCAGGAATACCATTGTCTTGTGTCACTCCTAAATCATATCTATTTGAATAAATATAAGTAAGAATGTATTGATTTGGTATTGATAGTGAGCACTTACATTCCAAGGTAATACACACTTTGTACTCCCTCTGTTGATGTATTCATACAGGATATACTTCCAAAATCAGTTGGGGCAATATCTTCACATGATGTTACGCTGTAGTTCCAACTCTGTCTGTATTGTGCTGCAAACCATTGAAGTGATTGAACTTAAAATTATACATATTAATTTAATTTAATCTATTGATAGTATTCTACATTATTGTACATACGTTCCAAAGGATGAAATACTACACCTGATGTACAACTAACATATATCACTAATACAATAGTCAAGTTAATAAATATATTATTCATTCTTTAGATTGTATTAAATATTTTAATAAAGTGATTGAAATGATACATTTATGTTTAATATAGATTATATAATATCTATTCTTTCAAAACATTTCGATGTTATAAATATCTTTTTGATTGGCCCATTATCAGGATCTTCATCATCACAGAAGCCCTTTCCTTTTTTGGAGGTAACGTAACGTTCCCCCTTCTACCACAACACAATCAAACACACACAAACAATCATAAAACAACAATGAGATATATTAAACAGGTGTTTATTACAATAATCATGAAATGTACCACATTATAGTACCTTTAACATATACATATGTTTGGGCCTGTGTATTCATTCACCCTCGGTACTCTTCACACTCTGCAATCAGAGTGTTGTTAGTGAGTTACTTACTACTAACACCTCCACTCAAAGAGGGGGTGATCACATGATCATATTATTGGATTGTAGTACTACTACAATACTACTACAACAACAATAGTAGTTATAACATTTCATTAGAACAGATATAATTCATAATTATTACTATTAATATTCAAACAGATAATTTAAGATATTAATAATTGTGATCCAGTGCAATTGGATTTCAATTAATTGTTTGATTGATTTTTTCAGAATGGTCTATTTCTCTCATCAATCATTCGCTTTGGCAATATTATTAATATTTGTTGTAAATAATGTAAATGGTATGTTAAGAAAATAAGATTGATCGATTGATTGATTGATCGAATAGCACACTAATACAAAGTGATCACTTGATGACATGATTGATCATTAGCTGAGAGAGCACCATTGTCACCTGTGTGCTGCCACACTACTTGTCCATTGGACCAGGTGTGTCTTTCATGTAGCGGTCCACCAAGGTGTATGCCAATATGCAGGTTCTTGTCATGTCCTTCAAACACTCAGTGTACAATTGCATTGGGATCAGATGGATTGTATGAGCCACGTTGTTCAATCATCACTGTTACAACTTCGACACCGTCTATAACAACAACCACAACATCATCATCGTCAGAGGTAGAGGCCTCTTCGACATCAATAGAGATCCCTACCCAGCCTCCAACCGAGCCTCCAACTGAGCCACCAACAGAGCCACCAACCGAGCCTCCAACCGAGCCTCCAACAGAGCCACCAACAGAGCCACCGACTGAGCCTCCCACCGAGCCACCAACCGAGCCTCCAACTGAGCCCCCTACCGAGCCTCCAACCCAGCCTCCAACTCAACCTCCCACCGAGCCTCCAACCGAGCCTCCAACTCAGCCCCCCACTGAGCCACCAACTCAGCCTCCAACCCAGCCACCAACTGAACCTCCAACTCAGCCTCCCACTGAGCCACCAACTCAGCCACCAACTCAGCCTCCCACTCAGCCCCCCACCGAGCCACCAACTGAGCCTCCTACTCAGGCCCCTACGCCACCCCCAAAGGTGCCATTCGACTCATTCTTTGCCCAGACACACGTGTTGCCACCTCAAGGAAAGACGTTCACAGTTGGCGATAACAAGACCAGTGATCTCCACCTTACTGGTGATCGTGAGACACTTCTTATCATCAAACCAAAGGCAACCACAGGGAATAAGATAGTACGAAGCACGATGGCCAATGACTGGCCTGCACCACCCAAGGTCGACATCTACACGCCAACATCAGAGTGGACCATCAGCAACCCAACTGCCGTGGCATTGGCAACGACCATCACCATCAACCCACCATCAGCCTTCCCACCGACAGAGTCCAAGGGCGACCCAATCATGACCAATGCCTATTCAGTTCGCATTCCTCGTCAATATATGAAGCCTGGCATGAAGATTGTGGTTGGAAGTGATGACTCGCAGGCCATCTTCCCAAAGGTTGGCATGGACAGCACGTTGAGAATGATCATGCTCCCATTCTACATGTTTGGCGCGAGAAAGGGTGTGGAAATGCCTGCTGAAAAGGTCATCCCAGACGAGAGTGCCAAGAAGTCAATGTTCCAGTCTTGGCCATGGGCCAATCTTGACGTCACCATGCATGGTCTTAATGAGATTACATGGCCATCCATGGCCATTTCTCCAAGGGATGGTGGCCAGGCCCAAAAGGTCTCTGGTTACACTGAATTGAAAGATGGCTATGCGCTCATGGGTGAGGTGCTTAATATCCTTGGACAGTTGCAATCGACCAATGGTGACAGCAACAGCAACATGTTGTATTACTCACCACTGATTGTCTTGGACACACCAAATGGAAAGATTGGCTTCCTCGGCGGTGGACTTGGAGGAGGCAAGAAAGGAACTGGCGATGAAGAGTACGCTGGCATCTTCATCCATGAGATGGGTCATGCCATGGGTGCACCCGTATGTATCCCATCAATCACTCGATCACTCAATCATTAACGCTCCCTCCCAATCAATCAATTAATCGATCGATCGAAATGAACAGCACGCTGGAGAAGCTTACGACAAAGGTGAATTCCCCTATGTCAAAGGAAGTTTGGATGGCTCAGTCAATGGATTCGACAGTGATCACAATGAGTTCCTGTCAACGTTTGTCCCCTCAAACGCATCAAGCTTTGCATCGTGCAAGGATGATCATGTGTTGAAGGACGGCAAGTGTGTGAGACAGGACCCGATGCAAGGTGGTGCTGGCGATCAATCGCAAGGCTACAGGTACACAATGTTTTCGGACTTCAACATGGCGCTGTTCCAGAGGTATCTCGAGGGCACTATAAAGGTGGACAACACGGGTAAGCACATACTTAGTGACGGATCGTTTACCTATCGCCCTGCCAAGAACGTCTACGAGTACTGGGACACGATCGACTTGAAGTGGGTCGAGAGGAAGAATGAGACCACCGATAAAGGCCTGTATGGAATCAATGGAGGACTGCCCAAGCAGCGCGATGTGTCCATCTACACGGTGTTCATGCAGCTCAACACTGCAATTGGATCAACTTGTGGCGCAGACTGCTCAATCGCCTACCCCTTGTCTCCCAAGTACATTGGCAACATGATCGATTTCTTCGATCCCAACGACCCAGTGCAGCTCAAATTGATCGAACCCAACAAGGGCGAGTACCCATGGTATTGCCATGCAAGCGGCTGCGACTACACTATGCGCGTCACCTATGAGGATGGCACCAAGTGGATCAAGCTCCTTCAAAAGGGCAAACGCTCATGGTTCAGTCCAACATCTGATGACATTAATCCAGATGTCACAGATCCAGTCAAAGGTGATAGCGTAACATGGTTTGTTGAGAACATTCCCGGTGACAAGAAGCCCAAACTGGTTGAATTACTGGATACCCCAAAGGGCTTCAGTGGACCAACACCAACTGATGCCAAGGTACTTCTCTCAGTGACCGTATAATGAATGAATGAATGAAAGAGAATAAATGTGAATGAATGTGAATAATAAATCTTTGAATCCAGCTTCAACAATATACCCAGTGATTGCCCTACCAGTACCCCTTCTCATGAAGTGTTGCGACTTGTACAATGAATAAAGGTGTTGAATGTGATGGCACCACCTCGATCATTGATTATACTACATCTTCCACCCTCTTGAATTATTGATTGGATTGTGTGTGTTTGATTAACACCCTTTACTATGTTTGATCAAAGAATCACTCACACATCCATCTTACAAGTTGTGATCTAACAAGGTGTGTGCCCTTATTCATCTTAGTAGGAATAATAATATAACATTTAAAACAGATAATACTATATATAATATTAATATCAATAATTAATTAATTCTGTGTACCAGAAATTGATCAGATTGTGATTTATTGATTGATTTACCAAATTGAGAAATGGTGTATTTCTCTAATAATCAATACCAATCAATCACTTTAATATTATTAATATTTATTAGTGTAAATATTAATCTACTTGTAAATTGTAAGTATTGATCAATATCACTGACCAATCAACTTGATTGACTCTAATAACAAACAAAAATAATACTTATGATTGATCAATAGCTGAGAGAGCACGATTGTCACCTGTGTGCTGCGATACCACGTGCCCTGTCGACCAGGTTTGTCTATCATGTACAGGACAACCAAAGTGTATACCAATATGTAGGTTCTTGAAATGTCCTATAAACACTAAGTGTACAATTGCATTGGGATTTGATGGATTGTATCAGCCACGTTGTACAATGATCACTGCTACCTCAGGAGTGCATACAACTTCGTCTCCTATTCAAACTACTACCACAACAACAACTACTACAACATCGTCTTCTTCAGAGGAAATACCTCCTACTGAACCTCCAACCGAGCCTCCCACAGAGCCACCAACTGAGCCTCCCACAGAGCCACCAACTCAACCACCAACTGAGCCTCCAACTGAGCCTCCAACTGAACCTCCAACAGAGCCACCAACTGAGCCTCCCACAGAGCCTCCAACAGAACCACCAACAGAGCCTCCAACTGAACCTCCAACTGAGCCACCTACATCTCCTCCGACTCAGCCACCTACTCCACCTCCAACTCAGACACCTACTCTAATTCCAATACCACCTACAAAACCCCCAACCGAACCCCCTACTCCACCCCCGACTCAGCCACCAACTCAGCCACCAACTCAGCCACCAACTCAGCCACCAACAACACCTCCGACTGAACCTCCAACTCAACCACCTACTACTCCTCCAACTGAAACTCCAACTCAACCACCAACTCAACCACCAACTCAACCACCTACTACACCTCCTACTGAGCCTCCAACTCAGCCACCAACTCAGCCACCTACAACACCTCCAACTGAGCCACCAACTCAACCACCAACTCAACCACCTACTACACCTCCTACTGAGCCTCCAACTCAACCACCAACTCAGCCGCCTACAACACCTCCGACTGAACCACCAACCCAGCCACCAACTCAACCACCTACTACACCACCAACAGATCCTCCAACCCCATCTCCAATAAGGCCTACACCACCTGTAGTGTAGTCTCACACTCCTCTTTCTTTCAGAATAAATCACAGTTGAATGAAGGAATGAATGAATGAAAGTTTATTAAGTGGTTGTTGATCCTATCTGGATATCCACGTCATGTTGAATATTAATGTTGTTGTTGTTGTTGCATAACCTTGAGTTTGGAATCAATCCTCCTCTGTTCCACTCTGTACTTTGACCTTTGCCGAATGACTACCACGGTAGTGGCTACTACTGCAATTATTGCGAGTCCACATACTACCACAATGGTGGCAATCTTCCAAGAGTCGAACTTTTTTGTCGCTGCTCTAGTGGCACACAATGACTTGTTGCGAGGCGTACCCTCAGATGAGTCGCCATCGAGTAATATTGAGAAGTTTGGATCGATTGAACATTGATTACATTGTGGCATATTGATACCGATCATTGTGGTCGATGAATTAGTTGTGATTAGTTGAGTCAATGAGTGGAATGGACGACCATCTGACAGTCCAACGGGTAGGAAACTGCCAAAGAATGTCATTCCATCATAATGTTGTTTGATGAATTGGATGTTGTTTGGATCAAATGGATCAGTACCATTGGAGTTCAATGATGGTATACATGTTTGATCTTGATTCTTGAACTCGGAGTCCACCTTGATCACAATCCTCAATGTGTTCAAATTTGATCGATACCTCCATCCATTTACATTGATTGATTGTTTCAATGTGTTTGTATCCAATGTCATGTTGACACCTGCAAACTTCATGACGAGTGGTGCAGCCGATGTCTGAAGTAGAACAGTCACATCCAGGTAGGCGACATTAATCAATGTGTACTGATTAGTTGTAAGTGTGCCATCCACCACTGGCTCCATCTTGTTCCATGATGGTGTCAACAACTCCTTGACAACACTACCTATTTGGTCAACTTCTTGAATGGACACAACTGATATATCAAACTTTGATACATTGGATGAGATGATTGAAGTTGGTACAGCAGGGTCAGGTACAATGATCACGTCTGGATTGATTGGTAAATCACAGATGAAGCCACCATAGTTTGGAAGGCAACTACACTTGCCCTCTACACATTGACCATTTCCAGAGCAGTTTGAATCATTTCCACATTGCTTAACGATCTCCAATGGTTGAACGACTAGGTCTCCACTCGAAGTGTATACACTTCCACTGACATTGATGCTCAAATGTACTGGACCAGGGTCGAGTGTGTTGTTGACTTTACAAACAATCATTGATGTTGTATAAATGAAGAGATTGCAACTCTGGTTTCCAACAATAACTGATACTTCTTGAGCTGTTGTGTTGACAGATGTAAAGCCTCCATATATGATGATGGTAGTTTGGTTTGCCATAATGGGTGGGACCGAGGTCACAACAGGGTAGTCTATATTTGATGATGATTGAGTTAGTCTGTGTTTGGAAGGAGACTTGCCTCTCAACTTACAGTTTACAATGATAGATTTGTTAAAGGCTGCGTTTGGAATACTGATTTCCACAAGTACTGGTGTCTCTTGAGTAAGATTGATTGATTGAACATCACAAGTTATTGAAGTTGTTGTTACATTCTTGACAATACAACTATGTGTGTTGTCCACAGTCACTGTGTATACCTGAGTTCGATTGAACGTTCCCATTGCAACCAGTTCCAATTTGTTCAAATTGACACTATAATATCCTGTTATATCAATTGTAGAGTCTTCAATTGGAAATAACTAGGTGTGAGTGATGTTGATTTGATCAATGAATAAGTATTTCAACTTACTCAAAGTTGTCCAAGAGATTAATCTAACTATATTCTTGGAGTATGAGAATGTTATGTTGGCTACACCAGATGGAAAAGGTGGATTGAAAGTTGTAATCTTGTTTGGAACTACTGGCTTCAGTCTTGGATCAAAGTCATTATTGTTCAATGGTGCGCCACCCAAATTATTTCCAGTGATTGTCAACATTGGTTGTGATTTGGTTGCGACCAATGCCACTTGATCAATATAAACATCTATTCAATTATATATTTGTTAGTTTGATTTGATTGATTAGGAAGATGGGTGGTATGTACATACCACATGAGTAATTGGCAGGAATTTTCAAGGTAGCAGGTGGATTAAAGAATGGTTTGATGGCACTTATGTAACAAGAGTAGCAATCTGGTACCTGATTGATTGAAGTGCCATCCATACGAACCAACCATACTGTACAAGTGAAGTCTGGCAACTTTGTTAGATACTTGTTGTTTGAGAAGTATAAATAACTTAATCTACTTGTGGTTGATACTGGAAGGTCTGGTACTGATGTGATATTGTTATTTGAGAGGTCTCTGTTTTGGATAGTGATTAAATAGTTAGTATTATGTTTATATAGAAGGAAATGATAGACATTAAACATACATGATCATTGTCATATCATTGAATTTTGGAAATACAGTCTGTTGGGAATTGATCAATTGTAATGTATTTAGATCATGGAATAAACTGTAATCAATGATTGGAGGTGGAACTACATTTCGAAGGAGTCTAAATTATAATATTAGTTAATGGAATCAATTCCAAATTCAACTGGAAAATATATATATATAGTTACATATGAGTTATTTTTGGACCATTGATTGTTGTCATGAACGATGGAGTAGCATATTGTTGTTTAGATTCAAAATTACTAAGGTAGTGGAAATTAGTATAGTGTCATTCCAATTAGATTGATACAATAACTTACAATCTATTCAATTTCCCAAGGTCGATTGATATGTTGACTTGTTCTTGAAAAGTAATATCTCTATAATTGATTGATTGATTAATTAAATTAATTAATTAAATATTATTTAGGTATTGAAATAATTATAACTTACACATCAATCAGATTAGGAAAAGAACTGTTCTTAAAATCCATAATAGTTTTGGTCATCTTGGTAGTTGGATAAACTATATATCTAAGGAAGTTATGGATATGTTAATTTAAATTATATCAGAACTTTGATAGATGGCACGTACAAGTCTGTGAGATTGGTCATTATATTTGTTGTTGGATCAAATATTATCTTTGGTTGTACAACACTATAATTGTAATTAACATTTAGTTTGAGAGTGACCATTGATGGATTGAATATTGTTGTAGGGATATCTGAACTCAGCTCCACAAGACTCAACTCACTAGTGATTGTTTGAGTGTAATGGAGGATAAGGTTAGGCTAGTATAATCTTTGAGATGGCTGCAGTTCAAAGTTTGATAATTACAAAGTTTCCAAAGGGATGAACTTGGGGAATTGTCCTGGAATTGAAAATGGGCAAGTACCAGGAGATATATTACAATCAATACTAATAAATGATTGATGATATAGTTAGTAAAAGAGAAAGTGAGTGAGTGAGTGATGTGATGTAGTACATACACAACGTTTTTTAGTTGGTCATTACTAGATTGATCCAACAAAGAGAGCAGACTGAATGTGTTGTTTCGAACATCTGACCTCATTTCAATACTGAATGAAGACAGAGATGGAAAGCTCAAGGACTTCAGATTAGGATCTGGAAATGAGTTTGTAATCGGGATATAGTAGTTACTAAATAGTAATGATGATTGATTAGAGAACAGATGAATGTTAAAGAACTAAATAGTACATACATATCCAACTTGGTGATGGTTTGAGCACCCTGTCCATTATCGATACACTTGAGATCCGAAGTGTCAGTTGGTATCTCTGAACATAGATCAGTATCCAATCTCCAATTGATATTATATTGATTGATCAACCATCTAATAGATGTCACTGTGTAATTTAGATCATTGTAAGTTTGTGAGTGATTGTCCAATCATACTTTATTCCATCAACCAATACATACATTCTGTTGAGTCCAATGGTAATTCAGAGTTTACAACTGATGTCATTAATAGTAGGAATGCACACAACATGTAAAAGACATGGTAGTTGAGTACCCTACTTACTCTTTGTTTACTGCAGTAGTACATATTAATAATATGATTATATATATGTAGGTAATCTAGTAAATCGTTTGTGATAAGAAGATACTTTGGTGTACCAAGGTAGAACATAGGTCCTTAGCCCAAAAGATATTTGTAAAGATGAAAAAATGATTTGATTTTCTTATCGGGGGGCCATCGTGATCAAAACGACATGTCGGGGGTTTATTCCTGAGGGGTTACATGAAAAAGTATCCTCATCTTATCTTAAATAAAATAATATTTGTTTTGCTATAAGTAGGGCCACCATATATTCTACTACAATCGTTATTATCTTCCATGTACATCATATTGGTAACATTCTGTCTAAAACACAATGAAGATGATGTTCCAAGATGTGTCGTTGGCAATGCCAGCCACAGATCATGTCTTCAAACAGTTTTCTCGCTGCTCTTGGTGCTCACTGACGAGAAAACTGTTGCCCATTTGGCCTCACATCCCAATAGTTCGATTTCGTGTCCTAGTCTCTTGAGTCAGAGTATATATATTCTGTCCCAATACCAGGTTGACTTGTTCTGTATGGATGGGTGACTCTGGATACATTGGTCCACAATGGCGAAGGATGGACCTTCGTCGTAGCCGAATTGGTAGTTGTACAGGTAGCTGACCGTCCTGTTGAGGTTCAACTGCTCAACGCAGAGTGCCATGAGATCCTTGCATCTAAAATGGACCATGTGTCCAAAGTTGATCGAGATAGATGTGGCTTGATTGGCGCAGCTAATAAGAGGAAGAGAGTCCTTCTCGGGAATTTGCTTCAGCCTGATGTGTTTGACGTTGCAAAGTGATCTGAGGAATGTGTCCAGAGGGCCCTGGACCATGAAGCAGATGGTGAGCTTGTCCACAGGTCTCAACAGAACGGGCATGTGATCATACAAGGCGATGCACATACTGTCGATGGTACATGTTGGTGACTGCAGCAGGTAGTCGAGTGTCTGATCGTTCAGACGGTGCACGGGGAACTTGAATGTTCGCAGTGTGCGCTTTGACACGAGGAATTGATGCAGGCGCCTATAAAAGTCGATGTATTCCTCATGGTCCTGGAGGTCCTCTCCAAGTGTGAGTCGGAAACAGAGTGACCTCAGCTGCGACAGAGACTCCAGGCACTTGAACAGCCTGTCGCGCTCTGCCACCAGTCCACAGTAGAAGTTGGACACCCCGTCGACATGGGTAAAGCGGTCGTAGAGCGTGAGCTTGGTGAGTTGGCTGAAGCACCCGGGGTCCAAGAGCGAGTCCACCATTGGCAACTCGTAGTCATCCGACTCAATCTTGAGCGTCAGGTGTCGGGTGGTCGCCAGTGTCGGCCGGACACGCTCGAGGTGCTCTTGCCACTTGCCAGCCTGGTCAATGACCACGCCGAGCGCGAGCGTGTGTGGATATGACTCGCTCTGCTGCACTGAGCATCGAGAGGAGGTCCAGTGGGCCTTTGAATGTATGGATGCCCAACGGAACGAGCTGAAGCTCGCTGAGCGACGGTCTGTTCTTCTTGAGCGATGGTTTATGGAATAGCGGCATGTGCAGCGCATTGAATTCCCATGGGAATCGGAAGAGCGAGTATCTGTTGGATGAGGCATGCTGCTCCATCTGAGCGAGTGTGTCCATTGGTCCGAGATAGATTGCATCGTTCAGCTGCACAATGTATGTGTGCCATCGTCTGCATACGAGGCTCATTGAGCGACGCCATCGTCTAGCGATGGCACCCCGCTTCGTGCCCTCTTCACCTCTCCATGCTGTCAAGACTATAAACGACTCCAAGAGATTAGGAAGTTGTCTGCAACTTGTCATCATTTAGGTCTTGTCAATGAACGATTGTAGAGCAATGACACTCTTTTGAAACAAGTGAATGAGTGAGCCCTTTGAATGAATGAATGAATGGTCCAAGTTCACACACCTGCTCCATACTTCATTCATTTTATTACATTGCGAACAGATACATACCAATAATGATTCATTCATTCATGATCAGAGTTAGAAACATACAGACAATGGATAACCATCAGGCGTAATGATATTAAATGAGTTTCAATGCCACTTCTTGTTCCATCCTTCTTCTTGTGAAGTATACATGTATAAATATTGGTATTCATAAACAAAAGTGATATTGACACTAAACAGTTTTGATCAATCAAAAATGATGGTACGAGATCAAACAAAAAATACATCTTGGACCCGACGTTCGGATCTGGAAACTGATTGGCTGAATGATTGGTGTGAAGATTGGATGGTCGGTGCAACATACATGCAAGTTCGTCTCGTTTGCCGTGCTTACTTTATTCCTTTCAATCAAATCAATCCAAAGTCACTTGTGATTGAGTAGACCCCTGTGGTGTTACACTACTATTGTACTACCTATTGCTGCTGGGAGGTGGAGGAGGTCGCCTGACGAAGCATTTGATTCAGCTCCTCTCTATATCGAACCTCGTTGTGTACCTTCTCGATGGCTGTGGGTGGCATGTGCTCGCCCAGCTCCAACTTGGTCCTCAGCTGCTCAATCTCCTTCAGCTTCTTCTCCAACGCCTTGATCTTCTTCTCTCGCAGCTCCTCTGGGGACTTCTCCCTACCTGGCTGTTGTGGCTGTGTTGCTGGTGGTTGCGCTGTTTCCTTTGGCTTGCTGGGCTTCTTCTCTGGCTTCCTTCGTTCGGTTGGTGATGATGTCTGTGCCACTGACGAGCTGCCGCCGCTGCCCACCGTGTAAATCTTGAATCCTGGGGGGTTGGGAGACACGGTCTCCTTCTGCGAGGTCGCTGCTTGTGCTGCAAGTGCGGCTCTCTGACTGGGTGGCGTGTATTTGGCGGGTGGCGCGGTCTCTTTGATGGCTGAGGCGGGTGGCATGACGATCCTCTCATCGGGGAAGGCCAGAGGGTTTTGTGGTCGCCACTGTACTTGGTAGAGATCGGGAATCGCCTCCTTGTAGATTACGCTGCCGTCGTACTTGATCACCTTGAGTCCATTATCGACACGGATACGTGGCGACAGGAATGCCACGACAAAGTGCACAGAGTCAGCCGCCCACTCTGTGAGAGTGGCGCAGTGCGCATGCGTCGAAATGATCTTCCTAAACTTGGTCAGGTCCCAAAAGTCCATGTCACCCTGCAGATTGCCAAAGCCTCCAAGCATCAGCAGCTTGCCGTTGGGCGAGAAGCGGATGGTGTTGCGCGGCAGCGTGCCAAAGTCGACGAGGGGCGTGCCCTTGACGTTAAACAATGTCGTCTGGAAGGGGTTGCCGTAGCTGACGATGAACTGGTCGATCGTTGGCGACCACTTTACATCGTGGATGGGGCCCTTGATGCCCAGCGTGTAGCTCGTGCCGTCCAGCGCCAGGAACCACAGTCCCGTCTCGCCGTAGTAACTCTTGCCTGTCTTGTCCGTATCGGTCGACGTGTGGATCAGCAGGGAGGTGCCCTTGCGGTTCCACTCCATGATGGCCTCGCTGGCCTTGAAGAAGGAGAGGTGCGACGCATGCTCGCTGATGTTGGGATAGACGTAGATCCTGCACATGCCGGGTGCGCTCTTGTTCTCGGGCACAAACGTCGAGAACTTGTATGGCGCATCGCCAGGCGCAAACTCAAAGCCGGCAACGTGAGGCAGCTTGAGATGCTTGGCCACCATGCCAATGTTGCGACCGTTGAAGAACTGAATCTCGTTGGTCACCAATCGGCCGGCGATCATCTCGTCGTCTGTCCACTTGATCAGGGGCCACGCCTCGGCGTTGCAGTTCCTCTGCGACGCCCTGTAGATGATGTTGGCGTTGCCGCCCGCGACGGTGATGTCCCACACCAACAGGTTGTTCTCGTTGTTGTTGGCCTCGGTGGGACGCTCCCACGTGAGCATGTACGAGTTGACGGGCGAGAAGCTGATGTGCACGATGCCCGGACGGTCGAGCTTGGTGTAGAAGGCGCCGCTGTCGGCCTTGTGAATGGCCACGTGCAGTGCGTGCACGTAGGCGATCAGCGAGCCGTCGGCGCTGTACTGGATGTGCTTGTACTCTGTGGCATCAAACTGCTGCAGCTTGGCATCGCAGCCATAGGCAGGTGACGACTGCGAGCAGATCGTCTTCTTTGATCGCAATGACAACTGGAGTGTTGGGGACACCGGTGTAGTGATGCCCAATGCAGCGGCCACCGCTGAGGCTGCTGATACTCCAGTCGTCGACGTAGTTGATGTTGTTGATGTTGTGGTCGAGCTCATTTCTTCTTTTATAAAGATACAAGAGTCCAATGTCTATTCTCGTCGACGATTAAATTGTCTTTGTGAATACCTAAATACTACTTTATATATATATAAATATATATATATATATATTATTTGTATATGTATATGAAGGGGAGAAATGAGTCAGAATGAATGAATGTTGTTGTTGTTGATGTTGTTCGCGAAGGATGTGCTGTATCATATGATGTATCGAGGATGCCCATTGCTTGAGTTGTTTGATAATGATTGATGGTCGGTTGAATGAATGATTGATTACTCACGTGCACACACAACAGAGCCCAACTAGTTATATATATATATTGCAATACACAACAACAAAGAGTGATAGAGTGTTCACAATGATAACTGACTTGACTCTGAGTGCGTCTCACTCCAGAGAGGTCCAACCCACTATTTTTGATACAAACGACACTTCGAACTTCCTACCTAAACGACAAGTTTGAAAGTTCCTTTCCCTCACTTCATCTTACACCGTTGCCAATATATCTTACTTTATCATGATAACAATGTAAATGATTTCAGTCATAATCAATCTATATATATATATATATATCTATTTGATTGAAGTTGAAGTGTAGGTTGACTTCCAACTATCACATGACTTGAAAAGTGTTGACACAAGTAGAGTGGCAGACCAGGAAGTCAACGACGTGGTTCACTTTTAGGGGTGATCACCTGCAGATGAGTCATTGAACAACATTGATTCTAATGTAGTTGTAGTAGTTGTAGTAGTTGTAGAGTTAATATATACAATGTTTAATAGCTTTAAGAATCTGTCCATATGGAGGACAGATGCGGAGTCACTACCTCCTGCTCCTGCTGCTGCTACTGTTGCTGCTGCACAACCAGATGATCAATCTCAACAACAACAGCAAAACAATGATAATAGTAGTAATACAGTAAATGAGACACAAGATGGTGAACAACAGCCACAACAACAACAATCAATGTTTGGTTTAAATAGAGTATCAACTGATACATTCAAGAGTATTGGATGTATGTACAACTCTAATGAATGTAGATGAATAGATAGATACTGACTCCATTCAATCAATCATGTATGAATACATATAGCCAAGTTCTCAATGTTTGCATCTAATGTTATATCAAAGATTGATGAGGAGAGGAAGAAGTTGATGGAGGAGAGTGAACAGAGTGATAGGGTACGTGCTATATTGAATGAGCCATTGCCACCTTGGATGGACTTTAAGTTGGACGATCAAGCCAGACAGAGAGAGGCAGTTGACAAGATACTAGATGTAAAGATGAGCAAGAAGACCTTCTTGACATCACCTCCAATCGACTCTGACTACTGTCAAGAGTTTGACACTGCCCTTATCCAAATAGCCACTGTCTCTCTCAAGTATGACAGGCAACTAGAGAAGATAAGATTCCTACTTGTACCAAGATTGTAAGTTTGATTGGAATGATTGACATTGATTGATTGACTTGTTTGATTGACATTGATTGATGTAGTATATCAGAGGAACAGTTCTGGAAGAATTGGTATTATAGAGTGACATTGATTAGACGTGAATATAACATTGTATCCAATGTGTTGACAGCACCAAGCAAGGCCACACCATCATCATCCTCATCAAGCAATGTACATAGTGATAATAATGACAGGGATACATCAACATCAACAACAACAACAACAACAATGGACAATAATGCTGGAGGTGGTACCAACAACAACAACAACAACAACAACCAATTGATAACATTTACAGACAGTAGTAGTAGTGATATAAGCAATTGGGAGAAGGAGTTGATGACCGAACTGGATGGATTCAAGAGTGATAATATAGACCTATCGATGAACAATGACCTTTTGCTCGATGATGAGGATGAGGATACGGACATTGGTAATTTAAAGTCTACAACAACGACAACGACAACAGGTGATAAGAAGAAGGAAAATGAGACAACCGACAACGACGAAGATGAAGATGAAGAGGTTGACTCTGACGCAGTGATCGATGAGGAGTTGGAACGAGAGGTGGCAAGAATGAAGTTGACACCAAACAATGGCGAGGACGAGTCCGAGGATGACTTGCTCAAGGAGATTGAGGCTGAGATATCGAGCAGCTCAGCCGACCAGCTGACACCAGGCGTAACAGGACTCACCTCCAGCACAGACAACGACGTGCCACGAGCTCAACTCGAATAAAGATTGGTAAACATAGGAGGAGAGAGAGATGTTGGATTTGTACATGTACATACTTGACAACAACACGTTGTCTGTCTTATGAAATTATTATTTACAATGTAGGTCGATCGGCGGTTGCTCCTGCTGTGCCTGGAGATGTGGATGGATCCTTGAGCCTCTGATTGCCCAGGATGATCTTTGGTACGATGCCATACTTGAGTCCAGAGTTGCGATATGATGGAGAGAGCATGGATATTCGGTTATCTAGTGTATCCATGTTGTTGTTGCTGTTGTTGTTATTGGTCGCTGGTGACTCCACATCACTGCCATTGTTACTGTTCGATGGTGATGATGTTGATGGAGCGGCACACTCGTCATCAGAGATCACACCGGGAATGTCTGAGAAGTTGATGGGGAGGTCTTCCAGATGTGTTATAATCTGTGCCATGTCATCATCCTCCTCGCCACTGGTGACCTCCTGGTCTGAATCATAGTCAATGTACACAAACTTGGGATGTTGATTGTTTCGCGTTGGTCTTGGTTGTCTCAGCATTGACATTGTTGGCAATTGAGGCTCGCTGGCTGATAGCTTGACATCACAATCACGATCACCATCTTCAGACGACACAAGGATAGTGGTTGGCTGGGGAGTGATTGATTCACAGCCACTGCTGCTTCCATCTGATGGACTCACCTCTCTTGGCGAGTTGCAAGCTGAGCTTGATGGTGACAATGCTGGAGATATAAGTATTGATGGAACATGAGGTTGTCCTGTCTCTAGTGGGTGCTCGCCTGGATCAGGCGAGGGTGTCCTGGCCGATCCAATCGCATGGCGCAACATTCTACTTTGTGAAATGCCCAACAAAGCATCGTCAGTGGATCGCGACATCTTCCTCCTGCGAGACATGACAAACTTGTGACTGTTTCTCCCTGACTTGGGAGGCAGGGGTGGCAAGGGTAGTTGCTTGGCTGGCTTGTCCTTGGTCGGCCCAGAGGGCAGTTGAGATTGTGGCTGAGGATCCAGTTGATTCAATCCGATCGTGATCTTTGGTACGACACTGTTGTGCAGTTGGCGCGGAGAGTGGATGATTGGTGACTCTGACCGCCCCTCCGCACACTTGAATCGTGTCCAACCGCCATTGCCAACTTGATAGGCATTCACTTCGACCAGGAACAATGATGATATCGGCCTGTGATCACTCTCGTGTAACTCATGACGTCGATAGACCAATGGTTTGATGGCTTCGCCCCGATATAATATCCTATCGCAGTATGATGGTGTTCGATTCTTCTCGCTTGTATCATATATAGTTGTGCCAATATCATACTTGTAGGTTGGGGCAAAGTTGATTGACTGCTCACTGAACCCAATAAAGGCGCGACCCGAGCCCATCTCAGTGGCCAACTGATCAGACGCCATCAATGTCTGCCAGTTCTTGTTCTGTACCAACTGCTTGCACTCGCTCTGTGACAAGTCGATGCGATAGTTGAGGTCGCCAAACCATACCAAGCATCTAAGAGTGGTGTATTGGGGTTAGGGTCAGGGCAAGGGTAGGGTAAGGGAAGGACAAGGGTAGGACAACATACTCATGATCCAACATTGAAAGATTGCCATCGAATGACATCATTTGTTGTATCCTCTTGAAGTCTTGTGCGCGACGCTCCATTCGATCGTGTGATGGACCCGCTGCTAAGTGCGAGTTGACAAAGCAGAAGCCTGTCTTGTAAAGTGAGAACCTGATGGCAACGCCACCCTTGTTGCCAATCTTGCCCATGGCGCCACAGGGCACGTCTGCCCGACACGCATCCTCGACGAAGGGAGCATGCTCCTCCTTGACAAACACCATGATCATGAGACCCACCAGCAGCTTGCTCATCACCTTTACGTAGGTGGCACCGGAGCACAGCGCCAATGTCTGTTCAATGTCGTGTTTCCATGGATGATACGCTTTGTCTTTGTTGAGCATTCCGTCCGCCGCTGTTGCCTTGACGATAGCTGTGGCCTTCATGTCAACGATCTCTTGCAGGCCAATAACAATGATGTCTGGCGCGAACGAGTTGGTGAGTAGCCAGTTGGCCAGATTGGTAGATCGTTTGCCATTGCAGTTCCATGTGCCAACGAACAGAGACAGGTGTTTGTGGCCTGTGACCCCGCTCGATGCCAGTGTGACCGCTGGCGAGGAGGAAAGGATCGATTGGTCATCCTGAACAAACAACGCTGAGCAGTCGCCAGCCGCATATATGGCAGATGCCTTGATCTTGGGTCGGACGATCAAGGACGGCCAAAGTCTGTTGCGCGTGTTACCATGTCCAAGTTGATGATTGTCGCCCGCGCCAAATGTGTATACCTCACCGGTGTAAGTGAGGATGATCGAGTGATTGGTACCAAGTGCAATGTGTTGTGTCTTCTTGTTCTCCACGTCTACCTGTATCAGCTGTGGATGCGGCGAGTCCACCTCAGTACCATTGCCAAGCTGTCCAAATGTGTTGGCGCCCCATGTGTATACCATGCCATCGCGAGTCAGCAATGCAGAGTGATGGCCACCCGCAGCCACGTCCAATACTGGAACGTGCTGATTGTTAATGAGCACGGGCACGGGAACCAGCTTATCATTGCAATGTCCAATGCCAAGACATCCTCGAGAGTTGGCGCCCCATGAATATACAAGTCCAGCGTCAGTGATGGCCAATGTGTGTTGCTCGCCAAAGGCCACCTTGGTCCAACGAATGTGCTCGCCATCGCGATGATCCATTGGACTCTGTACGGGCAGTGGGATGAGCTGGTGCGTCTTGTCGCTCTGCCTTCCATTCGCCAGCTGGCCATATCTGCAGCTGCCCCACATGTACAAGTCGCCCGAGGCAGTGATGGCTGCTGACACTTGATTTCCCGCGACCACCTTGGTCACGCGCAGTTTGCTGAGCACCGCGATGGGCAGGGGTACGGCCGAGTCGGCAATGTCGACGCCGAGTTGTCCAGCACCGTTGAGCCCCATGGCATAAACTCGGCTGTCTTGTGTAAGCAACAGGGTGTGATCGGCACCACAAGATACACTAGCCACCAACTTGCGCCAAACGATCTTGAACAGGGTAGTGTGTTTACGACCCATCACCTCGCCCCACATCAGACATTCACCATTCACAATAGCAGCAGAGTGATCTGTTCCCATTGACAGCTGATCCAAGTTCAACGACACCAATGCAGATGGCGGTGTTGGCTGCTTCCTATCCACATTGTGGCAAGTGTTGCCTGTTTTGCCTGGATAGTTTGATTGATTGATCGATTAACATGTTAGTGCTTTGGAGGACGTGATGATCGATCGTCCACAGTGTATCCACCAACCTTTTCCCCAGGTATATAGTATCTTCATGTTTATATGTTCTGGTGGGTGGTTAAGAAAGGACCTAGCCTTTATATCTTGGAGGCTGGTCCAGGACTCTAGATAGATAGTATTTGTTGTTGTTGTTGTTGTTGTTGTTGTTGAGTGATGAAGGATGAATGATTGAATGATTGAATGATTAAGTGATCAGTGTTGGGAGTTTAGAGTGAGTGGTAGGGGCTTGCCCTCACTCACACCATCATGTTGGATGTAATCACACCCCTTCATCAAACACACCCAACCATTATGTTGTTGATCAAACAAACCCACCACTCTCAAGTAATAAGATGAATGGCTGTTCAATCAAATGATGGGTGATCACTTCCATACCTTTCTTCAACACCAACTTTGAAAATTGAATGGTTTGCGTTCGAAAATTAAAATAAATGAATTTATTTGTAAACGAGTCGTCAAAACATCGACATTCGACTCTTTGAACAAGTACTTCTTCTTGCTAAAGTACATTTATATATTAATACATATACACATAACATATATACAATCATGGCACCAGCAGGAAAGAAGACAAGCAAGAACAAATCATCCGAGGATAACAACAACAACAATGATAATCACAGAGATGGAGATGGTGTGCCCGACGCATTGCTCGAGAACCAAAGAACAAGAGTCACAGTAGGCAACTCTGGCAATGAGAATGTAAATACATGCTCATCGATTGATCAATACGAATGATGAACTGCAGTGACTAACATAGATTATGTATATATACAGACAAGAGGAGTATACTACAGCGGTGCTTACACATCATTGGGCTATGACAACAGTTTCAGTCTGGAGAAGTTTAAGAAGAACTTTAAGATTAAGGTGCTGTCTGATCAGCCTGAGCATTTGGTGTTTGAGATGATCGGTGTCGATGCACCAATCGCCAATGCACTACGTCGTATCCTTATCTCTGAGATCCCAACAATGGCCATCGAACGCGTCTATATGATCAACAATACCTCCATCCTTCAAGACGAAGTACTTGCTCACCGTCTCGGTCTCATCCCCATCAAGGTCGACCCATCCAAATTCAACTACAAACAACGTAAGTTGGAAGTTGATTGATTGATTGATTGATCAATCAATCGCGAGACTGTATCGCTCACTCACTCACTCATTCAATCAATCAATCAAACAGCAAACAAGGAATACACAGCAGAGGATACTATTATCTTCTCATTGAAGGTTAAATGTTATAGAGATCAAAAGACAGGAGAGATCGTCAATGAGACTGTTTACTCGAAGGATCTGAAGTGGGTACCCACGGAGGACCAGCAGGAGATCTTTGACGAGGATGACAAGCCTCGTCCAGCCGTCGACGACATCCCCATCGTCAAACTGCGTCCGGGTCAGGCACTCGAGGTGCAGTGCTATTGCGAGAAGAACATTGGACGTGAACACATCAAGTGGTCGCCCGTCGGCACCGCCAGCTACAAGATCATGCCATTGATCACCGTCTCGCCCAAGGTCACTGGCGAGAAGGCTGAGAAGCTCAAGAACTCCTGTCCCATGAAGGTCTTTGACATTGAAGATTCCGGTCAAGCATTCGCTGCTCGTCCACTCAACTGTACCATGTGTCGCGAATGTATTAGAGATCCAGAGATGGAGCCACTCGTCAAGTTGGAGCGTATTAGAGATCATTTCATTTGTAAGTACTGGTAGTAGTAGCATCACGTGTCATGCTCATTCACTCACTCAGCTCTCTCCCTCTTCACCTCACAACAACATCAGTTTCCATCGAGTCTGTTGGCACTCTCGAGCCCAAGTCATTGTTCAAGCAGGCCATTCAGATATTGATTGACAAGTGTGTAACTGTAGAGAACTCACTGCGATCAAACGTCTAAGAAGAACAAGAAGAATGAACAATAATAAGAAGAAGACACAATTAAAAAGGAGAGGTGTCAATCGAAGCTCCCTCTTCCTTCCTTTAAGTTACCATTAACTTAACATTGTTTGTGGCGGCGTCGCCACAGGCATACACGCGCAAGCTCATGCTCATGCTTGAGCTCATTTAATCAGTTCGTCATGTCACCTGCAGAGGCATCACATCATCATCATCCGTCAGTCAAGTCCAGGTATGCCATGTTTTACATTGGATCGGCGATGGCATCCCTGGCAATTTGGAATGAGCCAACGAGGCTGCCAAGTTGTAGCTTCTCGGATGCGCCAAATGATAGGTTGTATTCAATGTCCGACATCTGATTGACAACGTCCATCATAACCTTATTGTCCAACTCCATCTTATGTATCAATGAATGTACCTCCTTGAGTATGTCCGTCAGTGACAGACCCTTCTCTGTCTTGATCGTGACAATGCCTGTGAGTGCGCGAGTGAGTTAGTATGATGTGGCAGTCAAGCTGGCCGGCTGGCTGGGTGGCAACATACTTTGATATGCTGTGGCGTAGTCAGAGTTGAAGAGATGTCCAACGATGGTCTTGACGTCGGCGGGTTGTGGTTGACCTGTACACTTGTAGATTAGGTCTTTGGATATGGCTTGGCCAGAGTCGCAGGCCATCGATGCCGATTGGAGCACGTTCAAACACTTTCTCATGTCACCTTCACTCAGCACCACGATGGACTTGAGTGCGTCCAGATCAATGTTCAACTCCTCCTGACCGACAATCTCTTGCATTCTCTTCAATATCATCACGTTGTTGAGTGGGTTGAACCTGAAACGAGTGCATCTAGACTGTAGCGCCGGCAATATCTTCACAACATAATTGCAAATCATACAGAAACGAGTAGTCCTTGTATACTTCTCAATCACACGTCTCAGAGCAGTCTGTGCTGCACTAGTCATTGAGTCTGCCTCATCCAATATGATTAACTTGTATGGGTGATTGCTTCAAAGATGTGTCAACATGTCAGTCAGCTGTTGTCCACAGTCTCCACTCTCTCGCGACTCGACTCATCATCCATCCATACATACCTAAACATCATTGAACTTGCGAATGACTTGATCTGCTCTCTAACAACATCTATACCACGATCATCTGATGCATTCAGCTCCAACACCATCCTTGAGTAGCTGTCACCATAGAGCTTCCTTGCAATTGCTTGTATAGTCGATGTCTTTCCCGTTCCAGGTGGTCCATAGAACAATAGATGTGGCAATGCATTCTTCTGTATCAACTTGTTAACTTGTATGATTGATTGATTGATTGATTAGTTCATGATTGAGTCGTCCACTCACTCACTCATTATTAACTATTACATACTTGTAGATATAATATCATCATGTGATATCAAATCATTTATATCCTTTGGTCTGTACTTCTCTACCCATGGTAATCTTTCGAATATTGCCTGATCCTTGGCTGAAAGTGTCTTCTTTGTAGTTGTAGTCGTAGTTGTTGAAGTTGAAGTTGAAGTTGAAGTTGTTATCATATCATCACTCATCATTGCTATCTATCTATCTATACTTTATGTATCTCTTTATCTCTATCTATTCATTCATTCAATTAGACTAAATGAGAAGAATGAAATAGTTTGACGATCTTTGAAAAAGAGCGCCATTCATGAAACACATTTGAGTTTGAACACCGAAATTAGACTTCATTTGTCAAGTTAATGAAACTTAAACACTTACTTGTTATATATATAATTTATGTTATCAGTTCTTTCAACTTATTTGTTACGTATTATAGTCTCCCAGTTGGATGACAACGTGGACCGAATCTTGTTGTCGCTGACTTGTCGACGTCTGTTTGATGAGCGACAACATTATTTAATCTTTGAGAAAAAGGACATCATATTGGACCTCACTGTGCTTGCTTTGCAGTCATCCCAATGCAATAGATTCATACTCAAATCATTTAAAGAACAGCTCATTCAATCACTGGCACACTTTGGAGGCACGTGTCATGTGGCTCATTGCACCATCCCTGGACCCATCCCCGCACATACCAAGCGACTCTGGATTGCCAATCCCAACTTCCAATCCGAGCACTCCAACATCCCCAACGGTGTCGAGTGTCTCACATTCGAATATGTGAATGGTAGGACCATCGAGTCTGACATAGATGCCAAATTCACCTATAATATTACTGTTGGAACCATTCCATCATCAGTCACTGAGGTGCACTTTGATTATGGCGTCGAAGTACTTCATAATGGTGTGATTCCTTCATCAGTGGAGAAGCTCTCAATCACTGGACAACACCCAAAATGGGTGGACATCAGACCTGGTGCCATCCCCAACTCTGTCACTGATCTGCGCTTGAACGGTTGTGGCGCTCTCAATTTGGACAACGGGCTCATTCCAAACTCTGTCGTCAATCTCTTCATCGAACCTGGATGGATTGTTGAATTCAGTCTCTTGCCTGGATATATTCCATCGTCGGTGCGATCACTCACCTTTGGAGAAGGATTCAAAGAGGAGATATCTCCTCACGTCTTGCCTCAAAGCCTCACCCAACTTCATTTCGGAAATATGGCCGACAAGTGGCTATATGTTGGCTCAATACCCTCCTCGGTTCACACTCTCCACTTTGGGTATTACAATCTTCCGTTGGACCAAGATGGAGTTCTGCCCTCATCTTTGACCAAGCTCATATTTCAGATTGGCTTCTCAAATCGCCTTCCACAAGCCTCGGCATTGCCATCTTTGCAAACGCTCTCCATGCCACGCTGGAATGACAAGAAGGGACAGTTTGCTCTCGATCTACCACCAACACTCTCGTCATTGGTCATCGGCTATGTCCCAACGTATTGCACCGCGCTCCCCATCAGCCTCACACACCTTTTGATCGAGTCTCCCAGGTATGGGTATGACTTGGAACGCGGCATCCTCAAGAATCTACCAAACCTCACGACTCTTTCACTTGGACCAATATCCAGTCTGAGTCTTGGTGTCATTCCGGAAAGTGTCACTGATCTCTCGCTCGACATAGTCAAGAGAATTGTGCTCGGTGCCATCCCACCCAATGTAAGTACACTCTCGATTGAGAGAGTTGATGAAGAGTTATGTACTGGAATGATTCCTGCATCAGTCCGGGTGCTTAGATTTGGTAACAGTCATCGTGGCCCACTGCTGCCAGGATCCATTCCATTTGGTGTGCACACTCTTGATACCCCCAAGTGGTACAAATACCCAATCACAGTAGGCTTGCTCCCAGAGAGCTTGACAACACTCAGTCTGTGGGACCAAGCCATTGAGGCTGGAGCACTGCCGGCCTCCATCAAGGTACTCAAGATACATAGCTTCGGGCCCCATCTTCCAGATGAACTTGGACTCCTAGTAGATACTATCGAACTGAGCGAGGACTTTCGTATTCGAACCTTGGACATCCATCGATACCTCGATGCTGCACGTCAGGTCAAGTTTCAATACAATGGATTCAATATGTGCATTCGACGACTGGATGGCGAATGGCCGCCATACTTCCTCTATTCGGACCAGGTCATACATGCCAGTGGATTCATCACAGATATGTGTGTGATATTCAATCACCTACATCAACGCCAAAAAGTATCCCCAAAGCATGGCTATTTACGATATCATTTCAATGGTCTTTGGTAGGTTGTGCCACACGCTATGCTCGGACAATAAAAGATCTGATGAGGCGTTGAAAGCCTGTCTGGACAGGCTTACAATATCCTCGGCTGGCTCTTGGGGACTTGATTGATTAATGTTTATTATTCCATTATTGTTGGGACAGTCCGACTACCAATGTGCCACTTGTTGTGCACAAAGGCCTGGCGAAAGGTAAAGGTGTTGTAGTGTTGTTGATAAGGAAGGGAAGTGAAGGAGAGTAATGATGATTGACCGTTCATAATCATATGGTGTTGGAGCTAGATTGGCTGGCTGCTGGATGCTAGGATGCTGCTGATGTACATTTGTGATCTTGCCATATCCTCCTCGGAAGGGGACATAATATATACGCTGCTCTAACTCAACTCTGGGCTGACTGTTGTGCTGCCTTGTTGAATGTTGAGTTAAAGGTTGGAGAATGGTATCTCGGTGATTGTCATTCGAATAATATATATGTTGGTAAAATATATATATATATAAGGTTTGATTGATTATATGCGTTGAGAGTATATGTATATATAGTTGATCCATCAGTTGGGTGATGTGATGTGTTTGGAGTTATGATCCAACTAACTCTTAAACTTAATGACCTCCATATGAGGTCTCGGTTGGATGAGAGATTGTTGGAACATAAGGTGGAACGGCAGTGAATGATGAGATTGACAACCAATCAATGCCCTCAAAGAATGGATGCTTCTTGATTGACATCACCTCCAATCTCTTTCTCTCTGGTGTGATCAAACTATATTTGATTGATTGATCGATTGTTAGATTGATTGATTGATTGAATGAATGTTGTATGTTTGATTGATTAAGTATGTACATACTCTCTAATTAATTGTTCGGCAAGCTTTGGAATACCTTGGTACTTGGAGAGTGCAGTGTTGAGTAGACCACGCCAGTTGCCAATGTTATCTCTGATCTGCTTCTCTGTTGTGTCTGGCGACTCGACAAACAATGCCTGTCCGGTGCATAACTCAAACAAGATTGCGCCCAATGACCAATAGTCGCAACTCTTTGAATATGTAATGCCTTGTACAACCTCCACAGCCATATACTGAGGTGTGCCAATGTATGATGTGTATGACTAGTCATGATAGGGTTGGGGTTGGAGTTAGCCAGGCACAAGTCCAGAGTCATGAGATACATGGTACATACGCTGTTTGGATTCCTCAGGAATGAGGTAAAGTTGGGTGGAGTGTTGCCAAAGGCACTGCCAGGTGCTGCGCTGGCAGTGATGATCTGCTTGGAACTGCCAAAGTCGCACAGGACGAGATGTCCCTCGCGATTGATCATTAGGTTCTCGGGCTTGACATCGCGATGCAGCAGACCGAGGTAGTGGAAGTTCTCAATGCATACGACCAGCTCGGCCATATAGAACTTGACCTCGTCCATCGTGAACGGGTTATTATCACATTGTCTCTTGTAAAAGTAGCTGCTAAAGTCACCGCCTGGCAGATACTCCATTGCCAAATTGAATGATCCCTCCTCCTTATCAATGAATGCCGAGTATAACTTTGGTGCCCTAGAGTTACCATTCTTATTACAAACTACCATTGCATCTCTCTCTCTCTTGGCTCTCTTTTTCTGTGAATGATTGAATGATTGATTGAGTGTGAGTGAGTGAGTGGGGGGGGGG